GTATCGTGCGTTAAGTATTGTGATAATATCGTATCGTGGGATGTATGGTGATTCCCACCTCTACCTAATAATAGTAAATAAAGTGCAAACGACAGTCAGGACCCATCCACGACCTGAAAACATGAAGAAGCAACCCTCCCATCCACCAGTAAGAACCCCAGCATACTGGCAGCAAGTGTTTTCCATCCATTGTAGAGCACTGGGTTAGCATCTTGTCCAGCGGTGCTTGTATGGAGACTGGAGCAGGCAGGGATTTAAACACCAACTTTCCAATTAGTGGATGCCCTGCTCTACCTCGTGGACTACAGCTACAAACATTACACCGGCCTTACAGGAGGGCGGCGGTCATTTCCAAAGATAGAAATCTTTTTAAAGAAATACCTAAAAATACACTAAACCAGGCTTAGCTGCAGGATTCAGGTACATTTTCTGGAGAGTATTTTAAGCACGTGTGGGTTTAAAATGATCTACAGGTACAGGAATAAAGTTTATCAGGCTTTGGATACAAGGGCAGTAATATTTAGGTTCTTGACAACAGGAAAATGCTAAACCAGTACACACGACAAGATACTGACCTCAAGCTCAGAGTCGCTGGATTCAGGCTGGCTGGCCGCTCCTGTCAGAAACGGCAGCATGGGCTGGCCCATTTTTGCCATCCGAGAAATCAGTTTGGCTTTAGTAGCATCTGGATTCTGAAATTGGAGAAGAACAGCAACTCCAATCTTTACAGCACCAAAACAAATGAATACAAAAAGCACAAAATGAGGTGCTTGCTTACAGCCAGCTGCTCACTCAGAGAGTTTGACTTTGTACGAAGTGGTGGCTCCCTGGGAAGACAAATCAGCTACTGTGAGAAAAACAGTTTAGAATAATAGTGCTAACGATTTTATCAGGTTTAATCTTACCCTGGTCTTCCTGAACCTGAAGAGGGGGCCTGTGCTGAGGGCTCTGGGACCAGATTTTCAATACTGAGGGCTGGGGAAGGAGCAGCAGAGTCTCTGGAGCCAGCACTCGCCCGATCAGACCCACTGTCCTTTGAGAATTTGACCTAAACCACAAAACAAGCTCAATAAGCTTCTAATATTTCAGAAAGTGGCTGAACTTTCTAAACAGATACAAGCAGATGATGGAGATGTTTTGTGCAGCGGATGTTACCCGTCGAAGCTCTGCTTCAAAGATAAGAGTGCTGTTAGCCGGGACACGGTTAGGGACACCCTTAGATCCGTAAGCTAAATCGGGTGGGATGACAATGAGACGACGGCCTGCCTTCTTCATCCCCAGCATCCCTTCCTCCCAGCCCTGTGCATACAGCGAGGAAGAGGAAAGAGATGATGAGGTAATAACATAACAGCAACAGAAGAGTGATAAACAGCACAATCTCAGTGCTCACACACCTGATTTAAAGCTATGCTAGAACCTTTCAAAAGCAACTGTAGCATTTGTGGATGATTAGAAATGCAGGAGAGACACAACACAAAAGCAAATATAAATAAGTGATGATTTAATAAACTGCAAATTCTATTTATTTAATCAACAGCATCATAAGTTAAGGTGAGCCTAAAAGGCTAATCCACTGGTCTCATTTACGACCCCAGCATTGTAAAACAAATTCATATCAAACCTAATGTGAGAATGTAATATTGGCTTTTGTCATTTAAGCAGGCAGCAGCTAAGTCGTTTCATGTATTATGTGCTTTTTATTTTTAATGAGTGAATGAACTGTAACATATCTTTAAAAATGAGGCATTCTCCAACTTTCTTGGTTGACTAACAGTCTGGACAGTGAAGAATGTGTGCTGTAGTCTCTCTAAGTGAGAAACAAACGGCTCTAAGCACAGTGCAGGTTACAATCTATAACATAAGAATAGAAGCCTCTAATGTTGCTTTTGACAGTGTTTTGTTAGCTTGCCAAATTACATCACAAGCTAGCATGAGGCATGTCAGACACTGATGATTATTCCCATCACCAAGTCTTATTATCAGGATGTCCTAAAAACTCCCTGAAAAGTCTTCAGCAGCAAGAGTCCTGACAGGGACTAGAAAGAGAGAGCACATTTCTCATGTTTTGGCTTCCCTTCATTGACTTCCTGTTAAATCCAGAATTCAAAATCCTGCTCCTCACATACAAGGTCTTAAATAATCAGGCCCCATCTTATCTTAATGACCTTGTAGTACCATATCACCCTATTAGAGCACTTCGCTCTCGCTCTGCAGGCCTACTTGTTGTTCCTAGAGTATTTAAAAGTAGAATGGGAGGCAGAGCCTTCAGTTTTCAGGCCCCTCTTCTGTGGAACCAGCTTCCAGTTTGGATTCAGGAGACAGACACTATCTCTACTTTTAAGATTAGGCTTTTTCATAAAGCCTAAGAAAAGGATATAGTTATGCTGCAATAGGCTTAGCTGCTGGGGGCTTACCATGATGCTCTATTTCACTCACCATCATAATCATTATTAATATCTGACTCCCTTCCACAGTGTGTATTGTATGCCGTCTTCCTCCCATTAACCCAACTGGTCATGGCAGGTGGCCGCCCTCCCCCAGCCTCATTGCACCAGAGGTTTCTTCCTCTTTTAAGGCAGTTTCTCATCACCACTGTCACCAAGTGCTTGCTCAGAGGAGGTTTGATTGTTGAGGTTTTGTCTGTATTATTGCAGGGTCGTTACCTTATAATTTAAAGAGACTTGAGGTGACAGTTTTTGTCATTTGGCGCTATACAAATAAAACTGAATTTTAAACTAAATCTTTTCCAAGAACAGTCAAGATGGGAAGATTAGGCAGCTCTCTGCAACATGGAGAGCATAATGTTTCGAGCTTAGTTCTTTTACAGCAGGCTACAGAAACTCTGATCATCACACCTAAAATATATGCTAGTTGATGTACATACTGTACATATAATATTACAACATCGTAGCGAAGGACAGTCTGGTCACATGAACGACACACAAACTTCAGCTCACTTAAATCCTGTGTGCATCAGTGAGTTTATCAAGTTGCACAGAGCTCCATAAACGTAGCTGGAATTACAGTGTTTAGCCATGACAGCTACATTATTCATTCACGTTTTACTGGATTCAATGAATCCACACAGAAAGCAATTAGCTCAGCATGCATTATCATGCCGATGAAGGTTGATTGCTAGCACACATTCAATGCTCAGGCTGCTAGATAATCCTCCAATGTATTTAGCACCCTGTCTCATTAATTTCACTCAAACCACCAACTTCATATCGCCCGCACTTATTTCACCCAGTCGCTTTTTATGGTGTTGGGTTGCCACATCACTGCATGTCACTTCCTGTGTGGACAGCCCTTTGAGCTATTCACAGTCACTGCAGTATACTTTCACTCACTCGGATCACTTTCCCAGCTCCAATCTTCAGTCGCAGCAGCTTGTCTTTGTTTTGGTTGGAGTCAAACATCTGCAGCAATACAGATAAGATTCAAAGACTTGTTCGTCATCATAACCAGAAAATCCACAAGAGAAAAAACAAAAAACACTGATACTTGTTAAATGAATGATGTGAGTGTTTGACCTGTCCACAAGTGTGGTTCTCCAAAAGCCAGCCCGTGTACACCACCTCCACAGAGTCTCCATTCTCCACTGACTGGCCCTCACCCAGACTGAGATCCTGCAGTACCACCACATCTACAGTCACAGCGCTGTTCACTTTTGCTAAACATACCTGATGATAAAAGATAAGATAACCTTTATTAGTCCCACACATGAGGAACTTGTGAAGACTTCTTCATCATCTACATAATGTAGTCTACACACATCATTTTTTGAAGATCACCTGATACTTTTGGACTTTGTGCTGTCAATAAAGTCTGTTTGTTTTGTGTTGGCCCAGCTGTAATCACAGTATTTATTATTTGAGGCTCACCTCTTTGCAGAAGTCTGAAGCTGACTTCTCTGACTCAAACATAAGGGACCAGTTCTGCCTCTGGTCATCATAAAAAGTGCAATAATTGTTTTGCTGTACCTGCAGAGGAAGACGAGCATGTAGCCATGAAAACAGTCAGTGGGGGGAAAAAATAACATTCTTGGTAACAGCTATTCTTTACAGCTGTTACAAGCTTTTCAAAAGAAAAAATATCCAAAGAACAGGGTTTAAACAGGTATCGCAATGATTATCGGAAATATATAACTAACAGAATTTCAGATGGTGCATCTACTTCATGACTATACTCACCGTGAAAGCAAAGCCCACATGAATCTTAGCAGAGGTTACTTGTTTCTGTTGGCTTAAATACAGAAGCAGCTTGTACTGAAGAAAAGAAGAGCTGAGCTCATTATCAAAAACCAAACAAAAGTCAAAGCAGGAGCATAAAGTAAGAGACTAAATAACAAAGCTCCAACCTCTTTTGTTGTATGGTTGCCCAGCACAGCAGCTCCCAGCTTTCCCTGCTTCATGTACTGTCCATTAATACTACATGAGACAACACAGCTGTTCAGTGAACAGAGAGGGAACTTTGGGGGAGTAAAGAGTTTAATTTGTGTAAAGAAAAGGGGGATAATGCTCCAAACAGATGTAAAAAACAAACATGAAACCTGACATGTAGAATATAGCAGCCGACATATTTAGATGAGTGCTTAAAATGCTTTTCAAACTCACTATTTGAAGGCTTGGACTGCTGTTACAAATAATACTGCTGGAGCTCCGGGTTGTGGAGCTGGCTTCTGATTGGATGGAGCTGCAATAACATTAAAGAAATGATCAGTGGTGGCTCTGCACGACAACTGGATGTAAATTCAGCAACGCTGCAGTTCTGAGACTGTTACCTTGGTTGGAGCTCTTTCTAGGCTGTTTGGGGGCTGTGTACTGGAACGACTCGTTCCCCTGACTGGTTTCCTGGTCTAATCCAAACAGGGAAGCCAGCTTGGCCCTAAAAAACACAAACGATTATGTGCACGTGGTTGTATTTGCATTGATATATGGTGCTTTAAAAAAACAAACATGCTGGACATCTATACGGATACTGGGTAATGTGTTGGGAATGAAAGTATGCAAAATAATGTCATGGAAATTAAAATGATTATATAAAAATTATTATATTGTTTGCATGTCTGAAACATCAAACCATGACCCCAAATAGATGACAGGTGGTTTCCTGGGGGATCTCCCCTCAAACACAATCTTGACCAGCTGAAGTGACACCAACACGGCAGCATGCACCAGTGGATGTGACATTGTTCTGGGGAAGGGCCTCTGTGCCACAGGGGCTGAGCAGTGAGCCGAACTCTTCACCCCAACTGTTTACCACACACTGGTAGAAGGTTATTGCTACGGTGGTAATACTGTATACGTTTATACGTCTGATAGGCATGCTTGACTAAAATCTGTTCCCTTATGTCATTGCATTTTACTGTATTAAGCAATTAAAAATAGCTACAAAAGAAGTAACAATGCTTGCTTGTTTTTTTTAATATTATTATTATTGTTACTACAACTACAATTACAACAGCCAGAGACATACCAATTAAAGCTAGTAACACTGACTACTGAGATAACCAAAAACAGCCTGGGTTTCTATTTCTTATACAGGTAGACTACAAAGACAGTTGTCAGGCACAGGCTACATCCACACTAGCCCGGATAGATTTGAAAACGGCGTTTTCGTCTGAAAGCGAAAGCGAACGAGAATTAAAGGATTTGAAGAAAAGCTATCTGCAGCATGTACAAACTGATACTAATCTTTAATAGGACTGTCAACATTGAGAGCAAACAAAACAACTGCTGTATAAATGCCCTCTGCTATCTTAGTTTAGTTGGTCACATGACTGCATCACATGACTAAAATGTAATTGTTTTAAAAAAGTCTGTTTTCGCTGTCCACACCGCGACGTGAAAGCACTGTTTTTAAATGTATTTTCGAGAGCATTTTCAAAACGCTGCATTTTGCAAAAACGCCGTCTCAGTGTGAACAGGAGGCCAAAACGGAGAGAAAACGAGGTGTGGACGTAGCCACAGTGTCATGGTGCTGCCCCCACCACCCACCCCTCTTTACTGAAATCCCACCTACTCTTATGTGTGATGGCAACTCTTCAAGAGACAAAGACCAGGAAGGAACCAGGTCCAGACAGCGTGTCACCCTCCTGCCTCAAAATATGCTCTGACCAGCTGGTTCCCATCTTCACACTGATCTTCAACAGATCCCTGAAACTGTGTGAAGTCCCCTCCCATTTCAAGCACTCCACAATCATCTTGGTCACTGGGTTAAATGACTACAGACCTGTCACCCTGATATCCTTTGAAAGACTGATGCTGGCCTACTGGTGCTGGTTCACCAGGCCTCGAGTATGGACAGCTTGTTGTACTTCTTAGGCACCAGTTTCTTCATCACACCTTCCTGCAGTTCTGACAGATGGCTAACTTCCCTCCGTGCTGCCTTTATGGGTATTATTCAGCTTGTAGCCAAGTCATCTCAAGGATCACTCTTGCTATCGCATAGATCAGCTGCTTGGTTTCAGTGATGGTCGCAGTAGACATTGTCCTTAACGTTGCATTAACATCTTCTAATAGACTTTCAGATGGTACTTCATGCATTCTTTGTAACTGACCATGGATGATCCAGATTTCCAGCTTAGGCATAATCCTCTCTTTCATGCCAGCTGCTCTCACATTCAACATACCAGTTGTAATTCGGGCTTGGTACCCAATATGGAAGTGTGAGGATGATTGCAAGATGGCATACAGACATATGCAGCAGCACAGCGCTCCCAACTACTGTACACCTTTTATGTGTTTTTGTCCTCTAATGCAGCGGTCCCCAACACCCGGGCCGCGGACCGGTACCGGTCCGTGAGTCGTTTGGTGCCGGGCCGCGAGAGTTGAGGCTCGGGTGTGAAATGTATGGTTTCCAGGGTTTTTATCGTTAAGTCGGTTTCCCCGGGTCTTTTTCCGTGTTGTAGTCGTATGTCTTATTTTGAAAGAACTATTTACGCATTGCCATAGCGACCAGAGAGCATCAAGAAGCAGAGAGGAGGATCTCCAAAGGTTGAATTTGTTCCTCTGGATGTAGCGTTTTGTGGGAGAAACGTTTCGTCACTCATCCAGGTGACTTCTTCAGTCTCAGCTGACTGCAGGTTTCCCCAAACGCTACGTCCAGAGGAACAGAACCAACCTTTGGAGATTTACTTACCTGGATCACTGAGCATGCATCAAGACAGAGAGGATGTTACTCTCAATGTTGTTGGCGCATTTCAGGAGGTGGCTGCTAATAAAGTTACACAATTACACAG